ATGGAATTTTCTAGACGTTTCCAGTTCCTTTTCATCACCGTCTCCGATACCCACAATCACTCCATCACCTTTAAGGTTCCTCTGATTCCTATCGCAAAAATCGTTGACTGTTTGTTCTGTTGAAAGACTTTTTGCTCTGTAATCCCTTTCTCGAGTCACAATTCCCTCTACATCCTTTTTTTCGATGGTTCGTTCAGAACGATGTTTCCTATCATACTGATTGGGCTTTTTCTCGAAACTGCACTTGCCAAGCCGTATCACATGACTTGCTACTACAAGTAAGTGCCTCTAATCTATTCATCATAAATTCGCAAAAAACATTTGGCAAAAGTATCCGAATTCCCACCACGTCTTCGTATAAAAATAATAACACTATCTCAAACAATAAATAATGAAATGACTAATGAAATCAACCTAATTTATGATTGACAGCAATATTTTTTACTTACTTAGCTTTTGGACGTGGGTGGTGCATTGTCAAGCGAGGCACTATCCCTGCTGATGGTCCAAGGATCGATTCCTAGATCGATGTCCGCCTAAGCCAGCCAATCCTTCCATCATCCTGAAAGGTCAATTGATACCATACTCTCGTGGGAGGATAGAAGCGCTGATTTCACATCTGTTGGCCATCACAGGTTATTGTTTAGGCTACGTACCTATTCAAAGAGCCGCTACGATTCTGGATGGGAGTCGCATGTGGGGAGCATCTGAAAACGGGATTGATAGCGGATAAAGACTTCATCCTTCATCCTTTTATTTGGTACATATCTGATCTCTACGACTAACGAAAGACGCAATGAATCTGAAGGAATAGTCTGCGAGAGCGGAAAATTCAATTCACAGCCAAATTTCTACCATAGTAGCAACTTTCAGAGGATAAGCTGGGCAGTAGTGTACCATAGAATGAAGCATGCTAACTAAATAGGGCCACCTGTTTATTTTTATGGCTGCGAATTATTCAGGATTCAGATTCGTTCTTAAACTTTGACAATAATCGAAATATTCGATCTTATAACTAAAAGCAATTTTACAGTTATATGTATGATACCCACCTATTTGATGACTTAACTTCAAAGTGTTGAGACTTTGGGCGCATTCAATGCATATGAGGCCTATACAATGACTTGCAGTGGCCAACCGATGTACAAACCAAAGCTTTTTTCCCAGTAGACGAGTCTGGTTTAACTACTCGACATCGGAGCAATGAAAGACTTGGTCAGTCCAGATGGATACCGATTAGGGATTCGAATCGTGACCATGCTTGTGTGACAGTACACCACTCTCCACTACACCACCTCCGCCCTCTGTTCAATTATTGCTGTAAAAAACTATTCTCACAGAATAGACAAAAGTAGATAAACAGTGTGTATATGACATAAGTGAAGACGGTAGAGTTCATCCTACGGCACAAGTCACTTAATTTGTGCTTTTTTTCTCCTACTACGGTAGCAATCTACCCACTATCTGAATTGTCGTTCCTATCAGCGTACGCTAACAAACAGTAGAAGAATGCATGTTTTATTGAGCTGGAATCAACCACCACTTGAAGATGTCGATTCATCCCTCTGTTCCCATATCATATTGATCGGGCAAGTGCAACTTGACAATCTTGGCCATCTTCAACTACCATCAACAACAGTTTCAGAGGTAAGATCGCTTCAAAGTAAGTGAGCTTTAGGGACCGTTCGAGGTTTTAAGCAGATTGAGGTTCTGCTTTCTCGAAAAACTTGACATAAAGAAATTTCTTGTAAAAGAACGACGGTTCGGTAGAAGAAAATTCCTCTTAGTTGCTGCCATATCTGATTTTCCCCTTGGAGTAGCTACACTTCACAACAGATTTACTCAATTTTTGTTAGTGGATCATTTAAGGGCTGGAGGGGGACGAACGACGAAGGCATCTATACAGAATCCTCCCTATTATTCAAAAAAAGTGTTTACACTCTCAAAGCCTCTTCATATTAGAAGATAGAGTAAAAAAGTGAAGGGGCCCAGGGCTAAAATACACATCGCTCTGCTCTGGTCATATTTTAGTTCAGGTTTAGGAATTTTCCAAACTGAAACGACGGCGGTCGGATATCAAGCTGCTAGTCTGCCTCACTGGACCTAATGAAGCATTCTCAACTCTCGTAGGTACTTATAGACGATGTAGTAATTGTATATTTTTATCAATGGTTCTTCATTGCGATGTGAACTTTCAATCATTTCCTTCCCAGGTATCATCAGCCGATAATATTGCCAAATTAGCTGACTCTTCGTACAACTACTTGAAACAGTTTTCCTTGGACGGTATGGATATCGATTGGGAGTTTCCAAGTTGGAGTCGAGATTCTCAAAAAACCGATAGAAACAGATTTCCACTTCTTCTAAAGGTTCAACTCGCGCTTTCATTTAACTCATTTAATTCAATTCTAGCTTCGAAAAATCGTTTTTAAAGACTCTTCGAGACAAATTTGGTTCGTCTTTTTTGCTGACAGTGGCTGTGTCAGGACCACCGACCATATCAAAAGTCGCCTATGATACAGTGGCATTCAACAAGTCAGTTTCCAAAATATTACTAATCATCCTTTACTTTATAGCCTCCGGGTAGTACTCGAAGAGGTGGACCGAAGCGCCATCCATACGATAAGTCAACTGACGAAGTCAATAACAATAGCGAAAGATAAGACTATTCCCAACTAGCACAAAAATGATTTTCGAGAGCTTGTAGAAAAGTTTGTGCAATTTTATGGAGCGGTGGAGTCGCCTCCTCAAAATGCCTACCTCCTATCGCCTCTCAGTTTCCTGCAGACTATTCGCCCATTTAGAAGTGTCCAACTTTCGTGTGCCATGGGACTTTATCTCTTGTAGGTACCTTACTTACTGAATCAAAGGCTTTCTGAATCCGCTGCTACAATGACGAAATACTACGAATTAGTTTCACTTCATGCCATCAGAGCTCTGGAGCTTTCCCTCACAATTTGCTGCCTTCGATAGCGATCAAGGTCTCTCCAGTCTCATCTCGACCATACTGACTTTCACAATCAAAAGAAGGATGAATGTCTTTGCACTAAAAATCACTACCTGTCTAAGTCAGCGCGTNCGGCTCTTCTGCATGTTTCTTTTCCTGGACGGCTGCTGACCACTCTTCATTCGCTCTCGGTGTTTAAATACTGTTTGAAGTCTAAATTTGAAAAGTTGCACCATTACTGTTATAGAACACTAGAATAATTGAATTTCGTTCAAAACCTATTCGTTTCACGTACGGAAACTTTAGGTAGGAGCTACACTATCAGCTTCTGAAGCCATAACAACAGCTTCCTCTGGGCTTTTTCTCCTAACTTCACAATCAGCTTTAAAATTTACTCATGGTCTCAATTCTGCATCCCATGGTTTTCTCGAAAATCGACCCAAGCCTACCTCAATTGGAACCGAAGCGCATCTTCCCCATCAAAAGCTGGGAGGAGGACGAGTTAGCGAGCTAAACCGACAAACATTTATTTTGACCATTAATGGCTCAGGACATCTATGGCTCCCGAGCAGTCCCCGATTAAAGTACTAACCAGGACAAGCCGTATAATATGAAAAATCGGCAGATACTCAACTTTGCCATTAAATATCCGAAACAATAGCTAGTTTTGAAAGAAAAGGATGCTTCAAGATACACTTTTGTCCGGCATGTCATTCGAACGAGTCTCTGAGACCCAGTACGGTCATGAAAAGAGAACAGAATTTCTACGGATGCTGCTTGGTGTCCTCATCGCTTGCACATCAACATAAGGGACAAGATGTACAAATGTAGGAACAAAAAATGACCCTTGAAAATTAGAATAAAATAAAAAATAAAAGTAACGTCCAAGTCAAAGTGTTTCCTTGAGTGGTTCAAGCTCAATTGTTACGGGGGGCGCTTCACATTCAAACTACGCCCAGCGCTGCTTTTCATTCGATATTCTTCACTTGGCTAATTTTTCTTTCTTTCCGAAAATTATTCTTTGAGGTACGTGGACTTGGTTCAAGTGATGAACTATGACTTTCACATCTTCTCCTATGCTCATCCGATTGTTGGATTCAATGCGCCCCTCAGGCGGATCACTGCAGAACTGGGAGTTGTCGGAGAGATGAACTCGGTATGAGCACCTTCCATAGCCCTCAGTAGAAAATTAACAGGATAGTTCCTTCATTTCAGGAAGCCTCAATGTTAACATGGGCCAAAATGGGATTGTGGAGCAATAAAACGGTTTCTCATACTTTCCAAAATTGCTCTCCCACATCGTATGGGTCCTGACTGATTGTTTTCGAGATTTTCGGGATTCCAACGTATGGCAGAGGATTTCGTTTGGTGAACTGGCGGATAAGCAAACCATATTCATTGGCCGCTGCCCCTGTGGATGACATCAATAACTATCCGGAGGTAGGTTGTGACGGAACATTTCCATTCAACAAATAGGAAACCCCAACGGTAAGAGATATGATATCGATCCATGATGAACAAAAATCGCGAACAACACTTCACAACAACAACATATGTATAAACAAGAATGTTAAAAAATAAAAATTGTCAACGAAAATAACAACATTGGCTATAAATTGAATAAAAGGGTGGGGCATGATCAAAGGCGCTCAAACTGATTTGAAATGGAACGAAACCTAGTTCAAGGTAAAACTCACGATAGTTCTAAGGTATTTAGTTGAAGTGAAATAATGAAAGTTATGATGCCGAGTAGTGAAAAGGTGGGGATAAGTCTGTGACCGTGTGGATGCCTCCCACATAAGCGAGCGATTCGTTGGCGTCCTAACACTTCATCGTGAATGGCACAGCTTCAACGAGGTCATCAGAACACGGACACTTTCGGGTGGGAACGTCGGCCAAGCCGGTTTTAAAGTCCCTATAACACCCTTGTCGAGGCCGTTTTCTGGCCCGTCAGTGTCCCCCCACGCGCTATCCTTGAAGGCCACAGAGTCATCCTAGAGAGAGATCTAAGGATCTTATTTTCATCGCGAGCAGCATCTTTAAATGGACTAATTATAATAAAATATTATAAATGATGATGTTCCAAGGCAACCAGTTAAAAGCGAAGTAATTGCGTACACTTCAAATAAACATTGTAACGATTTCTCACGTAGGAAGATATGCAGTTGCAATTATTTATTTATTCATTTATTATTCTGGTCTATAAAAATGAATCATTCCGAAAAACAGGTAGTTATCCTTTGAATATACATTTGGAGAACTTAGAAAAATAGTTGCCTAGTTACCAATCTAATGGATACTAGGAGTTTGAACCGTGGTAGCAAATGATTCCCTGGCAAGTAAAAAGGGAGATAAACTGTTGAAAAAAAACCGTAGAGTGTTGCATACTATCTAGTAAGTGGGTAATCAACGGGAACGAATCTTCGAGAGCTCCGACATACATATATTACCTGTCTTGCACACGAAGTTGTTTGCTGAGGTATAAGGCATTATAAAAAATTCAGAAGGAATCAGGAATGCTACGCACGCCAGCACCGCCCACACCACAGGTATGTCTAGGATACCCCAATCAATCACCTCACAGTCAACCAGGATTCAGTTAGCTGGAAATACCCGGTGCCCATCTCGTCTGCTAGAGAAAGCACTGGTCTATGCAAATGATGGCCCAGAAGTCCGCACAGACAAGCCTAGTTTTCGTTCGCTTCTACGAGCCTGACAGCGGCCATTCGTCAATACACATCCCAAAATAACTTTGATCGAAGTCATGAACTTTACTCTTCACTACTAATTAAAAGCTATTTTGCCTGTTTTCCTATTTCTACTCCGCCGGCGTAAACCATTGACGTCGTAGTCTGACAAGATAAGGTCTATATTAGGCTCGAGTAGGCTCGACCTTCTTGGTTATATTAAGGAGGTACAGGCTGGTGACGTCTATTACACCTCGAAATTATAGAGGAACATATTCGTGGCACCGCGCAGATTTCACTATAAGTTGAAATGAGAAGATCGAAAGAAGTAAGGCTTACCATTCCAGATATGTCGGCTACTGGACGACAAGAGCGTTTATACATACGTCTGGAATGACAAGGCTGCTTCGCCATATCTTCACGGTAAGCTTACATAGTCGAAATATTGTAGGAGATCTATTTGGAAGTAGAATCAGTGGTTTTGGCGGGATCCGATCTGAATGGAGTTGCAACTCCGTGAACTGGACTGGAATTAGTTGTATGAGTATCCGAAGTGAAAAAGTTCGAGGCTCACAAGTGTATATTTTGGATAAAGGGTCAGATGGAAAGTTGAGGCTTCCGAATGCTCATGGGAAAGAAATAACGAAAAAAATGAGCGATTAAATGAATTGAGGTGAAGTTTAACAAAAAAATGAGGAAGTTAACGGCATGGATCTTCGGCCATTATGTGGTCGATAATATCACTAGGCGGTGATTCAATCAATAGCCGCATCGGTTAGTCGATAGTAGTCGATAGATCACGAGGAAATCAGGAAGTAGATCATAAAAAGGCTCAAAATTGTCGAGTTAACAGTGAATGGTGGCTTGTAGATTCTCACGAAATTAAGCAATTCAGGATAAAAGATGAAGTACCTCCGAGACCTACAGAGTTTCGGAAAGGGAACCCTATTCCCATAGAAATGGACTTTATGATGAAATAAAATGCAACATACGCAGAACTTCACGGACAATCTGAATAATTTTACGACTTAATCTTTTTTTTCGTCCATCCCAATTATGACACACACAGGACACATTGAAAAGGTTCTGCTCTGTTGCGTCACAACTAGACGTTCAAGCTAGGACCCACGCCTAGTATACTGTAACGCCATAAATGGGCCTAGCATTTTCCGTAGGTCCGTCTAGTAGCCTTAAATTCAATGTGGAGTTTTACTTACTACTATGCTTATGAATATTTGCTGTATTACAGGTACTGACAAACTCTGGCTAAGCTTCGAAGATGTCCGTAGTGTGAAGGCAAAGGCAAATTACGCCAAGGAACTGAACATTGCCGGGGTGATGGTCTACCATATTGGTAGGAACTTTTAGTAATTTTTTTGTTGTTTGAATGATTTTTGACATGAACACATGGGATGGCGTGGTCACAGTGGATGACACAGGGTTGGGTCCTGGAAAGATGAAGCTTCGGCGGGAATAGGGCCTGAACGGTCCAGAATACCCATTTTGAGGCAATCATAATACCTATAGTATGGTTTAGTACATAGTATGGTACTTAGTTTTGTATTCACCCATAGTATTGCCCATTGTAAGGCTAAGCTGGTGTAGTGTCAAGTGGTACACAATTACACACATGATCCCACAATCAGATCCCTAACCGACACCCACCCTGACCAGCAAGTTTTTTAAGTTATTGGTAACAGATTGGTTTGGGTGGCTGAGAGTAATAACTTGTACTTTGGCTGGCCAAATTGTTATAATATAGGCTGCATGCGCATTCAGACATTCCAAAGATTCTGGATGGAGGTCGAATGTGAAGGCGCATCCCAGAGAGGAGATGTGCCACCGTTTGATTAGGCTCATTGTCAGTCCCTTACTTATACAAACCTTCTTGTGATCCCACTAATGAGCAGCGGCCTCGAAGAATGCCTTTTCAGGTTCAGATGACGTCTATGGATCATGTGGTAATGGCTCATATCCGCTTCTGAGAGCTATCAATCAAGAAATCCAAACAGTTCGAATAACTGCATGAAAAACAACACTACAGATTTCAATTAAAATTTATCATCATCATTTTCACATGTTCGTATTCAATTATGAACACTCGTAATTAAAATATCACAGTTTAACTGCCTGATACAAAATCATTAAATGTTATCTACAACATAGTGATACTTTTACAGCTTTTGTGGTATCAACTATCATCTACAGAGAAGTAAATCTTTGAAGATATGGGAAAAGAACAGAAAACCGGGAGCAGTTAGAAATACCAGAGATAGTCAGTAAAAGCAAGCATCAAACCGGTTTGCGTGATAAAGGACTGTTGGCACTGGCATGTCTCACCGGTTGGTTCTTATGCGGATAAGTGACTACAATGATGGCTCATCGGCGTGCGTAAGCGACGCGTACGGGATGACGCCACAGTGACAAGACGGTAAAGCCTCGAAATCATGTCAATGCCTGCGCGCTATTCTGCCCATGTAACCTAGCGAAAATAGCAAAAAATCAGCTGGGAAGATTCCATTCAATTTATTCCTAGTGATTAGAGCAGAACATTGCACGTAGGAAATCATCAGTGGAGGTGCTTCATACCCACCCACAGTCGCGATGACGTCATCTACACGCGCCGCGTTCGCACGCCTATGGATTCCCCATCTGGGCCAATGGTAGCTGGTTGGTGAGACACACCATAAACGAGGTAGACTGCACTCCAAAAGGGTTGTCCACAAACGATGCCGGCACCAGCAGAACACCAGTCGGCAGAATTTCAATCAGGCGAATTTGGGCGACGACTACTTGAGACCTCGATGAATACTCGTATAGGGTCCAGTCATTTGCTATGTAGAGCTTTCATGTGTGTGGAAAAAATGTACGTTGGTAGCCACATGGTGAACAGTGTTCATGGCAGATTGAAAGTTGAAGAGGAGCTCTGAAATAAGTATGTTGGCAATATTTAACTCCGGTTAATCCAGTAATATTCGAAAAAATACTTAAACAACCAGTAAACAAATTTACAATTAGTGATGACTTAACAATCGAATTATGCAGGTACTTTACGAGGAGAACTCGTCAAAGTTTCATTCTTTGTAGTAACCTTTGAGGAGAGTTTAAAAATCCGCTCCAAAGTTCAAAGTAAGAAAGTGGTACATTAGCGCGGTTGCGACAAAAGAAAACTAATACGACTCAATCCAACTGAAATCGGCAAATTTAGCTAGCGGGCCGACTAGATCCAAATAGTTCCCCTGAGTGGACTTTTCCGATTTGAGATTCAAACCTGACCTTCGGTGACATTGGAACTTGTCCTTATATGTACTTTCAGTATTTTATCGTTGTAGAAGACGATTACAGCTCGGTTTCAAGAACTATCCAGGTTATGCCGACGTTCATTCCTGGCTGTCCACCAAAATGAGGTACCGATAGTATGGGGGTTAAGGAAAGTGTTCGAAAAGCACGGATCCACGATCAACTCCTATCAGCAGCTCTGTGTACTCACCCTCATGAGCAGATCCCTTGATATAATCAGTTGTCTATCTGTCTGCAGACAAGGTGGCTAAAAAAGTGATCAGTGAGTGGCTGAAGAGCGTGGTGGCCCTTTTGAAGCCTTCTAAGCTCTTCGAATAGGTTTTTAGTCCCTCGAAAGCTTTTTCCATTCGCAAATAATCAAGAGCCTGGTACTATGTACTCCCATCTTTTTCTACCAATGTTGGCCTAGCCTGAAACACGGTTCGAGGTCAGACCGACCTTTCCATTGCTGACTCGATCATCACATTTTCAAAGACCTTTTGACTTGAATCACTTCTAACAAAAACCTTTCAACGAAAAACCCTCGTGACTGATAAAGTGAATAATGTCTTTGTTTTTTTTTCTCCTTTGCTGCCACTAAACGGCAGACTACCATAAACTGGAATTGAAGGCGATTCATGACAGTGGCTTTTGACAAGCGAACTGGTTTTCACATTTCGCGTAACAACGGAAGCTAACAAACTTCAAAATTCTTAAAAAACCAATAAGTAACTCTGTTAAGGTAACGGATTTCTTTCCGAAGTCGAAAATGGTAGAATAAAACGTACAATGGAGATTTGTTTGTGATGCTTCACAGCTTGGTCCCGAAGAAGCAATCGGAGGAGGCCGTCAAGAGGGAACTCGAATTTGTTCTCGACTCTAAAAGATAGCTTTGCTTCAGAGAGTACGTTATAGATATGTTTAAACGATATAACACTTAATTTAAAGTAATAGATAATGATATAGCACGATTCTAACCTATTTTTTAAAAATTAATTTGAGTTACCAGAAAGAAGTAAATCTCTTCAAGTACTCGACATCGAATTGATAACAAGGGTTTCAAAAGACTTTTGAAACCGTACTAATAGCCTAGCCCCATTAGGCATAAAATAAGACCACATATCTCCGTGCAAGCCCGTTCACCCCTTATCGCATTCTCAGGTTCAACCCGAATCAGATCCCTTAACGTATCTTCAGGTCAACGTTCCCATATTACTTTTTCAAGGAGATCGTTTGAGGTCAAAACTCTACTCACTTTCCGGGTACAATATCATCTTCAAGCCATTCAGCAATCCGCAGCATCCACAGTCCATACAGAACGGATTTCCTCCGCTCCATAAAAATGTCCACTTCGCAAAAAGCATGATAAGTCCTGAATTACCATGTATGTAAGTGGAAGCGATTTGTGACAAACACTACAACGATAATTATTGATACTTGATCATACTAATCGATAGGGGCGGTAAATGATTGTGAACCCATCTTGAACTTGAGATCTCAAAATTCAAAATTACTAACCGGAAAACGAAATTTGATAGCAAGTATGCAATGAATATGTCAATGGTGTAGTGAGTTCGCGAAATGATCATACATGACATTCCGACGGCAGCAAAGAAGTTCGAGACCCACTGTAGGAGCCGCCATTTAGCTGGGAGATAGTAAGCGATACATAGAGCACTAGTCACCTGAAAAGCCACCCGGCAGTTCATTTTGAAAGAAAGGTTGGCCCGTGGGCCTGGTTTTTGAGAACGTTATAGTTTCTTTCAGGATGCAAGTGAGTTATTTTTTCGAATACGTCTTTCATGATTGAAGTCTCACAAGTTTTTCCTAAACATTTCATCAACCTTAAACAAAAAAGCTGAATCACTTCACACTTCTATTTTTTACAATTTTTCTTTTTAATTACACCTCCTTTCCACTTATATTTTATTATCGATTCTGGCTTCAAACACATCGTCCAAATTTTAGAAAACAACTTTTGGAAAAAGGTGAAGTATAGAAAGCAAAATTCGTCAACTCACCATAGTTAGAGTATGGCCGGAAAATAGCATATCACCACATAGCATTTTCGTTTTTTCCTGAAGCAACGCTACCATTTTGCCTACTTTATTTGCGGATTTCAAGATACACATTAAATAAGAGAGCCATGGTTGAGAGAGCGGTAGATTTCATAATACATTGCCCTTGAGTTCGGCATCTTCAAAGTCAGACTCGGATGATTAGCAGCCTTAGAAGGTTACAGCTATCAAAAACATAGCTGCAACCGTCAACCTAACTGTCTGTTTCACTAATCATCCCCTCAATCCTAGTTATACTATTCCCTATTATTAAGCCGTTCTCTTGCACACAATGTACTTAGGATTCCAAGTCAACTGATTGATTGGTCTTCCAAGAAGACAGGCCAAAGCAGGCGCCCTACTCGTTTCCACGGTTTCATTTCTTGGAATGCTTAGTTCTTAATCAACTGATAAGGAACTAGCGGAGATTGTTATGAGCATGAAAGAGCGATACTTTGGAGTTGGGACTCACACCACACCCTTCGCTTCGCTTTAGATAACCCCTGGTTTGCGGCCCTTTTTCCACCAAGGAACTGATCTTTTGTGCATACTGATGTCTGTTTGCAATGATGTTTTTGGTTTGTGAAACCAATATAGAGGGCCAAATCGATGCCACATTAGGACCCCTCAATTGGAAATCATATGAGGGATCGTAATGTCGCATCGATATGGTCGTATTTATTTCCTCCAACACCATTTGCCGGATGAAGCACCGGACAAAGGTCTCCTTCTTGGAAAATGTGTCCGCCAATATCCACGAATCCCAATTCTTTAGCTCTGCACTGCAGTCATTCATGTGAGCCATGAATTTGTTCTACCAGTGATTTTCGCTAACAATTTAGCTAGATCGGAGAGAGGTTGAAATCCAAAAACTAAGCATCGGTCTATACATTAATCAATATTGAAGAAAGCACCTGAAATCCGGCCCGGATTGCTTGCTCAACGACCCGAGAAAGGAACACACTGAGGGTAATATTCACTTGATCCCGGCATCGCATAGCATTGTTTTGATACCCTGAAAAAAGAATATTCTTCCTTACTTCCATTTCCATATTAATACATCATTTAGAGCATTCTTACAGTGCTTTAGAAATGCGAAGTTGGGACAATGACAACCCTTGGACGTACAACCTGGGATCAGATCTCACCCATCTCACACAAGTTGCGGAGTCGACTAGTAGGTACCAGAAACACCCGGGAGGGGGTACCTAATAGCTATATTGTACATTATCCCGCTCCTACAACGAATTCCCAAAGAAAACGGTACCGAAAGGATGTACTATGATTTCTAAATAAGGCAAAAGTTGTGCTTTTCCAGTACGGTACCGTCTAAAGCCCATTACTTCAATTTTAGCAAAATTTCGAGCTCAATTTTGAAAGAATTCTCCAAAAACAATTGAAACTGATCGAATAGGATCGAATTTCTGATTCTTTTGGCGCTGAGATAAAATAAGCCCCGATTTCCCTCAATTGATTTTTCCGGTACGGCAGGATGCTTATATTCAGGCTTTAGCGAAGTAAACAAAAATCTGATACTGCAATTCCGTTATGGGCACACTAACCTGGAGGCAGCTGGGTGATGATAAGTGTAACAGAGCGAAAAGCATAGAGGGTAGCGCCGATGAATAGAAACCGACGAGCGACAATCGCTCGTGATTGATGAAAAACGAGCAGAAGGCAGAAACTGGTGAGTGTGGCCATGACCATGTAGTCACCCAATGTGGAAGCCCATTCTTGTTCGGGAATAAGCGAAAACACGATATCCGGTAAGGGCTGCCTGGAAATGGAAATGATTTGAGCTTCAGAGACTCACGTACTGGCAATGAGGAAGTTAAATTGGGACTTTGTTAGGAGATATCACATCCGAATTTATGAATATACGCCGCGAAGAATTTGGAACTCGAGAATTCATAGAGAGACCTCTCATTGTTCTTGGATTAATTCCAGACCATTTTCTAGAGACCACTTTATCGGCCAAAATATGTACTAGGGTAAGTGGATCTGTTTCAGAATTCATTACTATTGTAGAAATCAATCACGCGGCTCATCCTGAGGAATACGGATAGGCAATTGGTAAATTACCTTTTAAACTAGTCGCTCAACTCTGTCTAGTTAAAACGACCGCACGGTCTGAACAAGAATAATCTAGGGTTTCATGGCTTAGGCGCCGCCTACTTCAATAGATACTCCGCCCATGACTATCTGATGAACTGCATCCTTCTAAATTTGACCCGCTCGATTATATGAAATCGATATTCAACAAGTGCATGCTAAACGAGAGGAAAAAAGTGAAGGAGCCTTGGGATCAAATTGTATTCAAAATTGCGAATAACTAATCGTAGAATTGTTCTCCAGGGATGGAGATGAGTGAGTCGGGGTACGTCATATTAGCTAAGTAAAAGACAAAGTTTCCAAAAGAAATGTGATGAACACAAACGGCTTTACCTTGTACCGAAATCATGAGTATAGGCGACTACGGCCCAATTACAAAGGCCAGCGATGGAAAAGTAGATGAATAGGAAGCACCATTTGGCTATCTGACATTGCGACATAATGGCCGCCGAACTGACGAACACGATATTCCGCCGTGTACCTTGTCGCGACGTCTTCTGAAATACGGTGGATTGACATGAAGAAATTCCACATATGGGTTTACATCGAAGAGATCGGATAAGTACGAAACCTCCGGTTGTGACTCAATGTATTTTCAGATTTTCAAGACATTCACCTTGCCCATTTCTCATCTTCAGATTCCTTACAAAATAATTACCATAAAGAAAAGGGTATACCATCCATCTAGAGCCATGCTACGGATTTCATGAAATAAAAGATTTGAAAAGAATTCACACGATGGAATTACTCGCTTAGCCGTCCTTGTAAGACTAAACGATGAAATTTCAATAGCTACATTCGTCAACATCTGACAACCAGTAGCGTCTGCTGAATGATGGATGCCATCCTGTTGAACCATAACCGTTAGAAAATTTCTGCGTAGCAGGAAAAGCTCCGGAACCCGCCGGTTCCATCTAGGGAACGATGAGAGATAAAAAACAGAGAGAGAGCTCGGAGAGTGCAACATCTCCTAATGGAGATCCAGGCTGTATGAATTGCTTCGAAGAAATTGGAGAGTGAAAGGATTCCAGCAGCCAAAAGCCTGTCCATGACGTGTAGAATACCTTGCCAGGCCATAGGACAGATAAAACAATTCTTTATGGAAATATTAGAAATATTCAATGAGAAAAAAAAGATATAACCCTTATCAATATAAAACAAGCAGCTCTCTTTATCGCATTCCGCTCGCTATAAGATTGAGCACTGAACAGTTTGTCGCCTGTTTGAGGCCATTAGCAGCCCATGTAGATGTGATATGCAAAGAAGAACGCAAAAGTAGATGTGACTTGTGGAAGGGAATGCTGAGAACAGAAAAATAGTTATTCATTTATTTATTTATTTTACTTGGTAATACATCACAAGGATATGACACGAGAAAATGACATTTCACGAGTCTACTGCTCTATTAGCCTTCCCTTCAACGTTCACATGTTGTGACTTCAGCGTGGAGGCCTACAATAGTGATGCTCCAATGCCTCAATGTTCCGACATCAACGTCTTCTTCAGGAGATAGAGATCCATCATAATGAATAGTTTCACATGAAAACCTCACGAGGCACAGGAGTACTACCATTGCAAACTATTCCTGGTTATTTATTGACTTTACTACACTCAGAGGTGGACCAGGGAATAATATAAATTTTGACGGTAATCAGTCTATTTTTGGGATGTGCCCCGCATCCGACTTCTATTTTGAATCGTACCGACGTTTTGATTGAGTAAGTGGCCTAAAAAAATAACTTGTAGAGACCGCTCGATGTTCAAATCATGGTTTTTATCCTCCCAGAAGAGTGTGATTCCAATTAAGCAATCCCGGAGGGACGGAAGACTCTCTTGGCAGCGCGAGTATCGAGAAAGGTGTACCATACAAAGAGAAGAGCGATTGAAAATAGCAATACGTAGAAATATAGGCTAAAATAATTAGATAAATCGTGGATGTAATTGGCCACCCAGGACTGCAGTTCTATACAGAAATAATGGAAAGATTCATAAGTGTGGTAGGGTGACAGAGTAGATCTGAAATTATTTCTACTGAAGTTCTGTAACAGAACCCGCCCCTCCGCAAACTTTTTCCAGCGAAAAACTCTCGCTAAGGTTTTGGCAAAGTGCTGTCAAATACTCAAATCCAGTTCTTGTTTTTGAATGTTTCAAAGCTTCTTAGAAACGCTCCAGGAGAGGCATTTTGATAACACTTCTTCCCCAGTTGTGCGCAGTTTTTTCATCGAATGCATTCATAGGCAAAAAAAAAACGTTCGAAGGTGTTCCTTGAATGCTGTCGAATAACAATAATGATAAACTCACAACTGGAGAGTTATGGGGCGCAACACCTCAGCCTCTGGAGGAACTCAAGCCCGTGCTTGTGCTTTTCTGGCAGCTTGCTCATAATTCCTGACATGACCCTTTGCTTGCCCTCGCCTTCGAAATGGCTCTCAAGCCATAGCCTATCAGCACCCTTACTTGAGCTTTCTAGTCGATGGGTTCGAATCCCGTCCAAGGCTGAAGTTTTGCCCAATGCTCGCTAATTATGGAAGACTTTCGCTTCGCGTACTGCGGAGAAACAACAGTAGCTAATGAAAACATCGCGTCAAATTAACAATATCAAAGTAACAATCATAACAATACACTGGAACAAACAAAAGAAAACAGCCGAGTAAACTTTGAAAATGTATACGCCAAAACTGAGAAAAACGAGGATTATTCGAATACTCATGGAAAGTCTCCGAAGAAATTTTTTCTGGGAAGCTCTGAAATTCCGAAAACAGGAACCGGACGTTAATATTTACATATTTATTTATTCAAAGCATATGAAACTTTGAAACGATACCAGACTCCAGTATTTATTTACATCATTGTTTATTTATTTACCGTACACTCGGGAAGGGCTAACAACAACAAGAACAGGATCTGTAACTGCACCTGGCGGACCTTGAATGGAATTAAGGGAGTCGTTCTTTACCCAGGTAAACAGATCGATTCAATTGGAGAATCGATGAAATTAACCAGATTTCAAAACCGACACAGTAACCAGAGTTGGTCTTGCTGGATGGGAAAGCTGCTCAAAAGGTGGCGTTCCTCATTCATCCGGTGATGCTTGTCATTAACTTTCCCTAGTATTGTACCGTACATGCCATGCTTCCCCTGATCACCTGGCGCCCCTTCTATCTCACTGGGTGCGATTACGGTATCACAACACCTGTTGACTATGGAGTATTTCAGTCCAGGGAATTCCATAGAAAGTCATAGAGTACTGTATCAAACTAAGCGAATTAGGAGACGATTAAGAACGGTGGCTATTCCACAGGACTACTGCTAACCACAAAAGCGAGTTAGTCATGAATGCGATCGTTCGAAGCAAAGTACAAAGGCGAAATGCTACCATAAATTTCATGGCTAATACATAAAATTGAAAATGGGAACGTTCAGGAAGAAATTCCAGCTTTTACGAGACAGCCACAGAGGTAGGAAGGTCGCTTGAATGGGTCATCACCCGTTGCCAAGTCTAGCTTCTCTTTGAGCTCTGATGATTCTTGGACTGGCTCTTTGCTCTGTTTCTGGCCTCCTCATACCTACCGATGAACTCAGAGAGTTATGTTCGCAGTTACTGACCAAGACAAAAAAGTAACAGCAACTCTAAGCACTCTAAAGCCTTGCAGTGAAAGTAGTTGAAAGTGCACCCATTTCAACTAAATTATTTATGACCGTTATGAAGAGGCCATTCCCTTTGCCAAAAAAAAAGACGGTTTTGAACCACAAGAGATGATCACAGCAACTTCAAGGTAATTAATATCCTTTCAGTGAAAAACTGCTCGAGAACTTCGAGCAGGTGCTCCCCAGAAGGGTGTGCTCAGATTCACGGGAGTATAGTGGATAAAGTACGGTAATCTAGTCAGTCGGGAACTTGAGCTACGTGGCACTGCGGCTGAAGGAAAAACGTCGCCATGGAGAAAATAGGCAAAAGCCTTTTCAAGTCCTTATTCTCCAATCGAATTACCTATTTCTGTTCTGAAACTTGCCTGGTAATGGCCTGACTTTGTAGGAGTGTACGATGAGCATACACTCTCTGAGGGCTAGGAGCAGCAAAATAGGACCTTCAAGACCGTCTGTCACCGTTGTACGATGCATCATTTCCTCGCGGGAAGCAGACTCTGACCTTCCCGTGATACTAAGAAGCCTTCAGGTTTTATTACTCTGACGCCCCACGATTCTTTGCAGAGGGGGGAGACAGTAAGAGAGGATAACAGACAGAAAAATGCAACTAGCAAGTAGATATTTCTATCTCTATGAAAACAGCATCAGTAGTTGCCAAGGACCATCGAGTTAAGTGAGCCTTAAGAACTGATTCTGCTCAAATGCGGTATTATCGAAAAAAATAATAAAATAAAAAAAGCTGTGAGTGCGATTACAGAAACACTGAAAAAATATTGGCTCCAGATGATTGAAAAAATCGTGTTTATCATCTGACGGTCCATATTGACAAGAACTATACAATGATATCCGCTTTCAACTGGTAAAGAACCCAATTAGTAAGGGAGCCAAAGTATCGGCTGGAAGAGAAAACTTCCAGAAGCTGTCAAAAGAGACCACAGACTGAAATAGCCCTAAATGACGCATGGCTTGGCCAGGTCGATACAACTCAGCGCTTTCGGAGCCGGAAGTGAATAATTACGACTGCTGGACGACAGCCAAGCATCAGTCATGCAATTTTTCGTCGACGTACATTTTCTGTGCTCAAGCGTCAGCATCGAATTCTGAATTCACAAGCAGATGTGGAGGAAAATAGCATTAGCGATGCAGCGATTAACGGCGACCACGAAACTGTACGTCATGAACTGGTTACGAGATGACGTACAACATTTGCAATGTGTCAAAAACAGCATGGCAGAAGGCCGCTGCGTTGAGTCAGCCATTCCTCTGCTCAAACAGACAACAGTTATCATTTATTTACCTAAACTAATCGCCGTTCTACCACAAATTCCTATAGGTCGACTGCACGAATTCCTCGAAATGAAAAGTCCTCCTTGAAGTGGTTGAAATTTTACAAAGGGACTCTGGAAAGGATATGCTTCTCAGGTCGGTCCACTCCCAGAATACATAGTGGAAGTAAATCAAAAAGCTCAGTAAAAGGCTATTACGGATGGCGGAGCGGGAGAGGGCGTAATTTTTCACTATCACTCCAGGAATCCGATCCAGTAAAGCCAGCAAGACTACCACATCCCTTTGGGCTGTCATCGAAATACAAATTTTGTTTTTTTAATACACTGCATGTTTAAGCATATACTACATACTGCTATCGGATGTAATTTCCGTAATTAGCAGCTATTTTACCCATAAATTTGCAACCGATGATCTAAAAATTGTGGGGTTTTCGTTCGCTATTCAAAGGTTGACATTTACATCCCTGTGAAAAAAAANCCCCCCCCCCCCCCCCCCCCCCTGGGCCCTGTTTTTTGCGCGAAACTCCTTCATCCTCCCTTATTCAACACAAAAGGCCAGATGGGACCGAGACCGTCTTTCTTTGTGATGTTTTTTCTTTTGCCCATCTGCAGCAGAATCAGAAATCTCCCGACGTTCTCCTGTCCTTTTCACGTTCGGCAGGCTTCGGTGTGCCCCTGACATTCCCACCCCAGCCATCCTCTCCGAACTTTCATTTCGTCGAAAGGCTTTTGTTCAATGCTGTTTGAACAATGAGCTTTGACGCTATCCCTACAGTCTCTTGCCCACCATGCTCAGTGACTCATATGATGTTTAAATACGATATTTACCAAACGAAGCTTATGTGTCAACGGAGCACAGTTCGAAAGCAGGTGATAGTGTTTGTAAAGGCGATTGAGGATTAATGACACAAGAGATTGATGCGATACTTTCAAGACTGGACACATACGGAATTATGACAGAAGAATCGCTGAGAAACGAA